AATTAGCTAGTCAACAGCAACCATCACTAATTCTTGGGGTACTCTAACCAAATAGTGGGATTTACCATCAATCTTATGATGCACCCACAATCAAAAGTTTATAGCCACAGACCCTCAAATTAATTGTCATAAACTTTTATTATAACCATACATTTCTGTACTACAAAAGTATAGAGTAAAAATGAAATGATAAAATACTAATATCAGTTAGGTTTGATTTATGGAATGTCAAACTTTGAAAACTTATAAATCAGTTGAGATAAGCTTAAGAATGTACTGAAAAAGATCTATACAGTAGAATGCTGATTATCTGGATCAAATTTTGAAAATTAAAAATATGTCCATACATATATATATTTTCTTTGTAAAAAACCCAAAAAATGTTAAATGTTCCCCCAACATGCTTGGATCACTTCATAGCAAAGGGTCTATCTCGCTGCAGAACCACCAGTTTCAACATTAGCCTTACTTAGTTGGGTGGTGACAAAGTGCAACATTGTGAATAAGTTACAAAAAAGATGAATCTGGTAAAAAAAAATTTAAATGTTGCAGATTTTAGATTATCTGGACCACCCTTGGTCCCAATTAGTCCGAATAATGGACGCTCTACTGTATTTACTTCATGCTGATTAAGTGACTATGTTGGTTTTGAAAAAAAAAAGCTTATATTATTATAATTCATAAAGAAGAAAATTAGGAAATTAACTCTCAGTGTTACTAGCTGCTTAGATGTATGTAAATTACTGAAAAAAATCTGAGCAAAGGAATTAATTTTTTGAAGACTAATGTGTTTCATAAAATAACAGATTTCAAGAGGAAAAAAAAAGGAATACATCATCTACTTAGATTGTCTAGATTCATTTTTGTAAATTTTAATAGCATCATAGGACTGTTGCTCACTTTCTAGATCTGGAGTAAATATTTGGTATGATGAACTGGAAGCTTAACTTACCATTTACTGAACTTCATTTCTTTTTTATTGTTGTTAGAAATTTCCAACTTGGTCATTCTGTCTTGGTAACTGTCACCTAATGCTTTTACAATAATTGCTAGTGTGCTACCACATAGTGCTATTAGCCTTATTTTACTTCTCTATGACAATAACATGCTGCTTTTCAGTTTCTTTGACATCAAATTCTTGTAATATGTTGATTATGTGGCAATATGGAGTTCCTTGTAATAAGCTGCAACCAGCTTTAAGTCATCTTAAATTTGATATGGTAATTTGGATCTGTGGGATAGTTTTCAGGGTAAGTGTCAATTACATGGTAGAAATGGACTAAATAGTAAGAATGTGTGGGGGCAGCTCTAATTATATTCATATTTAAAAATAAACTTGCATAGTTGTGAGGGAAATTGGGAATAAATAAGTTAATAGGATAGTAAGGGCAATGAAGAGTTTGGAAAGAGGTAACTTAGAGCATAACTTAAATAATTTTAAAGATTAGTTTGTCACATTTAAAGATAAAAACAGCGTAGGTTCATCACTCAAGAATAAGCTTATATTATTCTTATGTTAGAAATATAAGGAACAAAAACTAAGTTATGGTCTCCTGGGCCCTAATTGAAATGGAAGAACATGATATAATTAGAATTAAGGAAACATTGATAATAGTAATTATTTTGAGTTCCAGATTATAAGTTATTTAACAATGACAGACTTTGAAAAAGGAGGTAGGGTGTATCTTTATATTAGGAATGAAAATCAGCCTATTGGGGCTAAATACACACATAAAAAAAGGTAATCAAGAAGTTGAATCCATTTGGGTTATTATCTGGGGCTTAAAGGGTAGAATGTATTTTACTTGGTAATTGGTATAGCTCAGTTAATCAGAGATGACATGAGAAATGAGATAAGAGTTGTAACTAATAGGAATACTGATGTAGTAATTATGAGAGACTAATTTTAATTACATTAATGGGATTATATGGAGCCAAATTGTTAAGTAGAGAGATTTCCTAAAGTGATTCAGGATGCTTATTTGTTTTGTTACATCAAACAGTCAAATAGAAGACCAGAGGAGTTGACATTTTATATTTACTTTTAACCACTAATAATGACATGGTTGCAAAAGTTCAAGTGGGGGAACATTGGGAAAGAATGATTACTACATAATTATGTTTAATGCTTTGCTATATATATATATTGAGATAAAAAGAAGTGAAATTTTAGTTCTAAATTTTCAAAAAGCCAAATTTGAGGCCATGAGATAAGATCTATCTTCAGTGAAAAAGGTGACATGGGACAGATTTGGGAAATTTCAGAAGTAAATGGTTTTTAACTGAAGACATGTTCCTAAAAGGATTGTAAGAAAAAGCTGGCTGATAATGTTAAAATTAAAATCAATGATTTTTTTTAAGTTCGTAAAAAGTAAGCTAAAATGTTAAAATGGGTATTGGATTCTTAATGCTGATAGCAAGGTCTTTGTTCAAGACTATGAGATAGCTAAGCTTTTAACTGTTTTTTCACTTCTATTTTTACAAGAGAAGACATTAATAATATTCCTGACTAAGCATACTATGAGAAGTGCCAGAAATTGACCCAAATCATGTACATTAATCCCCTGGTGGTAAGTAGAAATATTAAAATATTATAGATAGATAAAGCACCAGAACCAGAAAAAGGTTTTTCTCTAAGGTTTTAAAAGGGGTCAAAGATCAGATATTTAAGCCTCTATCTCTCATTCTTGGCAGGTCAATAGAAAGTGGGCAGGTGCCTGGGGATTGTAGTGTTGTTAATATTACTCCCATTTTCAAAGGGGGTGATAACAATTAAGGTAGTGACTCTTACTTCTATACGTAAGAGAAATTTTACACAGTCTGATAAAAGAAACTTTACAAAATTATTTAGTGAAATATGATATCACAAAAGAAAGTAACATGGATTCATCAAAGCAAAAACTTGCCTCACTAATCTGTTCACTTTGTGGATGTTCAATGATTCATATTTGAAAATGTCAGGTGAATAGTTTACACTTCTAAGACACCATCAGAACTGTACTCGATTCTCTTAAAATTTGACCTTCCCAAGATAATTTACAGACATGATGCAGCTTAGTTTGCATTCTACTGACAATTGCTTTAAAAATTAAACACACAACTTTAATTTTAGGATATATCTTTTAAAGATTTGCAGTTCAAAAGTAAAAATAATATTGTTTTAATAAAACTGAATACTAGCAAGTTTCTTTCAATAAACCCAAAAAACATTTTTCTGGCATCATAAAGTGAATTTAAAGTACAGTGATGCCAACTGTTAAAAACAAGTTGCAAGACAGTTATTTCTGTAATACATGCTAAACTGAAAGTTCTTGGAAAAACCCACTTCTTCAGTTAAATCTTGGCCTACTCATCTTTTCCAAATTTAACTCATGCCTTGTCATCCTGTTATCTTCAGAATAAAGCACAAATAAACCAGAGGCCATTATCCTAACATTCTCCCAAATATCTTGTAACCTTCAATAAGATCACTTTTAGACATTCTTTTCTCATTAGAAAGCAAGAAGTCTTAAAGATCTTATCTCATCCCCCATAAGACAACCCTTTCATTCTTGGGATCATTCTAGAAGCTCTCCTCTGAACCCTCTCAAAAAAAAAATCAATATCCTTTCCAAGATTAGGAGATAGAAACTATAGATAGCACTCTCTAAGTCAGGTCTAACCAATGACTTGCATAAAGAAATTATCTTTACAGTTTATGGAAGACAGCTTTTATAAAATTTAGGATGTAACTTACAATACTAATTCCATAAGTTACACAAACAAAAATCTTCAAAGATAATAAAGTTATAATCATATGCACAATAAATTTTTAAATATATCCACCCTTAGTACTGAGAACAAGGTTTAAAGGTGCATTTCACATATTAGGATATTTCTGCCTCATATGATGAAGACAGACAGGCTAACAGCTTCCTTAAAAATAGTATCCCAAAATAGTAAGGCTACTTCTGATGAGAGCGTATTTAACTTACTTGTACATTTATTCATGGTCAATAAGTTGATCAGGACAGATGTAGAAAATTCCAAGAAACAACTTTTTCCTTTTCCTTCAGGAACCTCAATCTAAACACACTCCACATTTTCTTAACCTCAGCCTCAATAATATCACAAGTCTTCAGCTCACATCAAACACAATTAATCCCTCTCTTATTAACCTGCTCTCTAAAGACCTTTAAAACTTCTAAAATAACAACTTCATAACCTTCATTTAACAAAATTCAGTAGTTCAATAGTACCAGTGACATCCGAGATGTGAACTCCCAAAAAAACTTCTAAATCAGGCAATTTATTGCAAATTTTTAGTACAAATTTTTAGTATTTAAACATTAGTACAAAAGAAACCAAGTTTATTTTCAACATTCTTGTTAGCAGTCACAATCAATCCATTCACCTCATATCTTTTACAATTCATAACACAATCCATGAAATTTAAAGTTCTCTTACAACAATCTAACAAAGTAATTTACTGATTTAGAGCTTTTCCAAACACACTATTTGCCAACCTGCTTAGATGTAGCTCATAATTGTACATATATCTCTTACATGTTCCACAAATCTAAATAGTTCATGTTGTTCAAAACATATGCTAAATAATGTAAAATTATTCTTTGCACCCTGATTAAAACCTTTTGCTCAACCTAACAAAGTACGAACACAAATGAGCTATTCAAAGAATTGTATTCTTAAAAGTCTGAAGCCTTAAGCAGATCTCTGTAATTGATTGTAAACTCTTTTACATTAAATTGATCAATCATTCCATTACTAACATCATAAGCTCCAATATCCATTTAAAATTGAAAAACTCCCTAAGTTCTCATTATTAACGCTCTTTCTATAATATAAACTTTATTCTTCAGCATCAAATTCTAGTCTGTTTTCCTGTTCATGCTACTAATAGTAGTAGTATCTTTATAATTACAATATTTTGAATACAGTTAAAAGTTTGAAACAGATTTGGAAGCTTAATATTATAACGTATAACTAGTATAAGTACTTACATAAATAAGACCTGAATAATATCGATCTTTCAAGTTGTGTAAAACAGATGCTTCATTTAAACATGTCAATTCTGCCATATCTTCTACTTTGTTAAATTTTGGAGGGTTCATTTTCTGAGCATCATCTTTATTAACTATGCATCTTTTTCCAGTTTCTACTATCTCTACTTCCAACTCGTCACCACGATCGATCTTAACACTAGCTGCCACAAAACCATGATGTTCGTGGGGAACCCAAATCAACTTTTTAGAAGTCCACTCTGCTTGGACAGATGGATCATTTGTTCCAACATTCCTGTCCACAACCAGATACTTCAGTTCTGGGTCTTTATGAAAATCCAAAGAGACTGTATCCGCCATTTCGTCTTGTGACAAAGTCAAATTTGAGTAAGTACAGTGCCGTGAAGAAATACCGAATAAATGTTTACTATGAATAAAGTGACCAGCTAGTTAGATTGTTGGACTTTAAAAAAGTTTTAAAACAGAATAGTTTTCAGTTTCAATAGTACCGCAACTCAGTTATAATTTATATGTATCTTAAGTACAAATGGAATGAATATTGGGGAAAACATTAAATATAGGACGTTTGCGCTTCTTAATTATTTGAAATCAAACAACTATACGGTAGTCTATACCTACAGCCACTACACTACTATATTCAATTTCAAAGTGAACCAGCGGGACAAGTTCCATACAACGGCTTCAGCTCTCAAGTAGGCCTACCACTTTAAGCCCCCACACGGTAGATGAACTTTTCTGCGCATGACATAGTGATGATGATACATGACTATAAATCTGAACTTTGGAGGTTAGAGTTCACTTATTGATGACTCTTTCGAAGTTGGTCACCTTTCTTTTCCTTTTTTTTTTTTAGTAATATTTCTGTGGGTAATAATAATAGTTTTAAATCTATTTTAGTAAGTGTTCTTCAAAACAAAGAAAACACTTTTTTTTCTGCCAGTATAGATAGATTATATTTATATTTAAATCTTATCGCGACATTAACCTTAATCATCCAGTGGAATTCTTATCTCATTGATATATATCAGTAATTTTATTTTTGGTTCCAAATTTTCAATATGACTTGTATGTAAATTATGATCAATTATGTTTATGGACAAACAACAAAATACGACTAAAATCTTTTTATAGAGTTATCCCAATTAAGTAATATTTTTAGTACAAAATATGCGAATACTGATTTTAAGTTTATTAAAGAACTAAATGTAAAAAAATATAATTTCTTTTCTTTCAAGAGGCGAAATACAATAAAAATGAGTTTTCTAATACCAAAATTATCAAATTATTTTGCTGATAACTGTTAAGAAAGTAATTGTTATAAAGTTGTTCTTTCGTTGAGCTTAAACGATCTGTTTTCCTGATGTGACAACGATAAGTTTATGGACTTACAAAGGTAAAATCCGAAGTTCGATTTCCGTGGTAGACACAGCAGATAGCCCAATGTGGTGTTACGACAGCGGAATTCACGTGAACTGGTAACACGTTATGAATATCTAGAACGTTCGTGAAGGCTCGAGTGTTTACCAGATGCCCTCTATTTCGTATATATAAGTGACGGCATAGATAGATAAATAACTGAATAGCAGACAGGGAGATAGAGACAGATAATCGAGTCAAGCCGTAAGTAAAGTGTGTGTTTAAGTTGAAGTAACTGTGGAAATTAAGTGTATTACAAAGTTGAATTGAGAAAGAATAAACTAGTTTTATTTTAAAAAGGGCTTGTATCGCTGAAGTTCCTCAGGAAGAATTTTTACGGGAAATTATCAAACCAACAGAGACGTAACAAACTGGTGTCAGAGAGTGGGAAGGAAAAGAAAAAAAATGGAAACGAGAAGAGGCAAATCAAACTACAGCTTATCAGATTTGATGGCAGCAATACAAGAACAGCAAAAGAAACAAGAAGAGAGATTACAGCAGTTGTTGGAGAAAAAGAAAATAAACAAGAAGAGAAATTACAGCAATTGTTGGAGGAAAAAGAAAAGAAACAAGTAGAGAGATTACCAGTTGTTGGAGGAAAAAGAAAAAACAAGAAGAGAAATTACAGCAGTTGTTGGAGGAAAAAGAA